CTCGTGACTTTGTCACTCGTAAACTTAACCTTTTCACTCGTAGATAAACAATTTCTTTATCGTCTTGTATAATAAATAACTATTCGTTCTGTAATTTTAGTATTTTTATTATATTTTTACATTTTTAAAATCTTATTTTTGGATAATTCCACCAGGACACTACAAGTTTTAAATTGAATTAAAAAAAATGCTGGTTTTGTATAGTTATTTTCTGAATTTGGTCCATTTCTGCGCTTGTGTCTTTTGTCCCAGGTACAAATCGCCGTTCTAATGACCATCAGAAGATAACAATTAACAATGACTTCCCGTTGGCATACAGCCATGCAGACAGCCTTTATCTGTCTCCATCTGCAGACTGATGTATGTTGTCCGCATTGACATTTTGGCTTTACGCTTTTGGTGAAATTGTCGACCGCAAAACGTCCCTTTTACCATCTCGAATTCTTTGAACTACATTCTGCAAACCATTTAATTGGTGTGTAACGAAAGAAAGGAAAAACTAAAAAGATTAACGTCCCCATTTTCCGACGATCGAAATTCGTCTCGGTATATTAAGCGTAAATGCTTTTTAAAATAGAGGAAGATTATGTTTAGTTCTCGTATAAAAGTGTGAAATATAATGTAGCGTAAAATCTCAGCTAGGTCCTTAGGTCTAGGGTGTTTAAGGCTGGATGTTGGCCGCAATGCGGTGCTCTCCGACAGTATGAAGATGTTAAGTAGGCCATTTGTCATGTCAAGAAAACGGTGGGTGGCACAGGAAACTCAACAAAGGACATCACGACTATTATTTACACTCGGCTTGCCTGAGCACTTGCTTGCTGTTAATTAGGGATTTTCGATAAACTTGACGGGAAAAAATCACTCATTCATCGAAAATTCAGCAGAGTATTAGTTTTTAGGTAACAAGATACGGGCATTATCTCGTACTTAGAGGCCTAATATCTCCTTTGAAGATCTATCAAAGAATCTCTAAGCTCCTGAGAATGCTTTCAGTGTAATGTACACCTAATGGGAAAATGAGAACAGGAGTACCACCTGAACTGAATTCTCGACGCTGCTTTCTTCAGCTTCAAAATTAATGCAATCACTAAACCTGATCAGATTTTTATCCAAAATGCATATTGAGGTAAATGAACACTCGGCTCTATAGCCACTGGCCTTTATTACACTAAATTAAAATCGGAGAGGATCGATATAGCCGTTGCATTATCCGTTATCGAGAGGATAGTTAATGCACACTTGTTTCTACTCAATTAGGAATTTCTAAAATCAAAACACGGCTAATGCAAACGCCAAAAAATTGTAAAATAATGAAATGCCAGCTTACTATTTTTTCTGGGTTGTGTAACAAACGTTCTTCCTAGTTGAAATATTGACATTTGATCATTAATAGCATGCATTTATGAAGTTCCAATCACACAAACCAGCATATTTTGCAATAAATTGCATCGTATACTAATAGAAAGTCTCGTTCCGAATATAATTAGGGTCTTTTAACTGAAAATTTACACTAATTAATTTAAAATTGTCCATTTTAAATGTGCGCTTGACTCTTAATTTGCGCTGAAATTTAAAACGAGGCCTAATGCAAAAACGATGATTTTTTCAACCTGGCCAGCTTACCCCGGCTTTAAATTCTTAAATACGGTCACCGAAAAAAAAAATCATATCAAATATCCTGCTCCAAATCTGATTTCACGGACAATTGCATCGAAAATCTGCAAATATTTCTCGTTATCTGATACATTTATTTATATGAGATTAGAGATATATCCTCTTACAAACTCACACAATACCAAGACCCTCGATGGCTACTTTTCACCCAAAATCACGGAAGTTAAAAAAATCCGACCATTTTATTATTTGCATTTATTTGGGTGTGAACGATGCTTTTGTCGCGAAGTGTGCCAAACAAAGCGATCAAAGCTGCCGCTCGTCGAAAATTTCTACATTAGAATATTTTTCTTGAGGACTATTCAACGCTCGCACCTGACCTGTCAATCAAATCGTAACTGCCAATTTTGGCGCCCATAAAATTGATAAAAATTTTACAACTCGGTCCCTCTTTTTAAAATATCATTTTATTACCTCTCTTCAAGCCTTGTCACCGCTAAGGTAAACCGAACAAGCCTAAAGACCGACCCCTTTCTGCATGAAAAACTGCCGGTTTTTGTGTGTGAATAGGCTCGGAAAGGGTTCGTGCCTCTCTTCATTCATATAGATGTAAATAAATAAGAGGCTGATAATGCAGACATGAGGGGAGATGCTTTTTATGGCCTAATTAAAACGTTTCCTGGCGATGACGGCGATCGAACTAGGATTTCAAAACGAAATTATTTTTGCTCCATGTGGATTGGTGGCGCGCTCTGGTAGACAAGGGAAGAACAGGAGTGAAAAACGAGATTTGAAGCGCAATTTGGGGTCTCTTTATGCTAAGGGGGATGCTAACAAGAAATCTGTTTTGCGTTTCTAATATTTCTTAAGAAATTATAAAAAAAATATAACAAATTTGCGAAATATAATTGGCGAGAGAAATTTATTTCATACAAATGTTTTTAGTTTTAGAAATAAATAAGTATATACTAGTTACAATTTTAAAAATTAGAATTACATATATTATTATTATATTTTTTTATGTAAGTATGTACATATACCTATCTTATTTTCTTTAGTAATAAATCAAAGAGAGACTAGGATAGACGTTGGATGGAAATGGATGGAGAATTCATTTTTTTTAAACATTTTTACTAAACAAGCTTTATATTTAATTTTTTAAGATCAAGAAATAATTTTTGCACAAGTTTCATGCTTTATGTTTGTATTTTTGCATTCTTTATAAATTTTCCTATGACACCTATCACTAGATTTTCCAGTTTTTTTCTAATACCTACTCATGGGATATTCCGAGAGATATTCAATAGTAATACCTCGAGTGCAAGCCAAACTGTCGATAATTTTGCACGAAGTGCACGAGACAAAATTAGGATCAATTTGGCATGCACGAGAGGTATTTTGCAGACTATTTCCCGAAGAAAATTTACAAAAATAATATATTCATTATGAGAAATTAAAAAGAAATAATAATTTATGTCAAAAAAAATATGTCAATCAAATCTTCCAAATTTCTGAGATTCCTCCAATCATATTCGCGGTAATTTAGGTCATGGGCAAATTATCGACAATTTGCACACATGCTGAATTATTGAATCTGATTGGATAAATCTTAGAAATTTGAAAGATTTGATTGGCTTAAATTTTGTGAGGGAAATAGTCCTAGTTTTTTTTATAACAATAGATCTTTTATATACAAATGTACTTAGATAAGGACAAATTACTTTGACAAATACATAGGTATACAGGGTGCGCCAGAGAAAAATGCCATATAAGGTAAGATACCAGGAACATGGAAAAAATGTTAAAGAAATTTTAACTTTAAAAATTAAGTTATGAGAGTTTAAATTTTGCACTTTGACTCTATTTATTTCTGTTTCTAAGTTTTTTTGCTACAGGCTATTAGAAAAGGAAACAAGGAAGCTCCTAAATTGCAGCATTTATTGAGAACATTTTCAAAAAAAAGTTTAGAAAGCTAGAACAAAGTGAACAAGTCGGAATATGAATGAAAAGTGATTTGATTGGAAAACGATTTGATACTGAAGAACAAAGTGAACAAGTCGGAATATGAATGAAAAGTGATTTGATTTGAAAAAGATTTGCCCTTATATTTAAGGCTAGTGCCTTAAACTTCTAGATCCTCTTTGCTCAACGATCAGTGGTCATTTTTAGAACAAAAAACAAAAAACTCTTTATTTGCTTTCATTAATACGCAGGTACTCTTTGTTTGTTTTAAGCAGTTTTTGTTTATTCTAATTATTAGAAGAAAGAAGGTGCAATTGACCATTTTTTAAGCAAAAAAAAAGTCTTAAAACAAATACTTTTATAAAAATGCAACTTTAAGTAAGATTAACATGCATTTCTCCTATGTGGCGCAATGCTTGATTAGCAAACCTTAACTTCAAAAAATTATATCTTAAAAACTACTCGGTATATTCTTTTAAAAATTTGGATCCTAACTAATAAAGAGATGCTCTACACGATGGTAATGATGAAAAAAAATTACTCGTAGGGTTTTTCTTAAATTATTTCGATTTACTTCGAACTTCTTCGAACGCTGTTCGAAGAAAAGTTCGCCAATATTCAATTTCAAATTGCATATCATTCTAAAGGACAAGTCCATCCCTTCAGAATGGTTTTTATTTGAAGAAAATCGATAAGAAAAGCATAATAGTTATTGAGTAATGATTTTTTAAAATTAAAGTATTTTAAATTCATTTAAATTAGAAAAGAAATATTTAGTTGAAAGTATGTGGTCTTTTTGAATTCTTTTTTAGTACATTTGATTTGTCTTACTGAGACGAACAAAATGATATATAATTTGTCAAGTTGTCACAACATAACTTTTTTTTTGTCACCCTTATCTTATAAGAAATTTTATTGGAATTAACTGTAAGAATATATTTTGTATTTTTTTGTAACAAGCACCGTTTTCGAGATATAAACGAGAAACTTTAAAACGGCACCTTCTTGGTGCCCCCTTTTGCTCCGCCACCTCTGAGCCGGGCACTTTTAATTGAGTATGTTCATCTTTGTAGTCTAAACACAGCCCTGAAAACAAAAATTTTGTTCCCAATCGTGTATTCATTCCACAACTCTTTTTTGAGAATGCATTATTATTTAGGCTACTAACCCATCATGTTTAATAAGTCCAAAAATTGCATTTAAAAAATCTCCACGCATGAACGGTTGTGATAGTGGGGAGTTTATTATTTAATTCCGCCCCAAAGTTTGGTCAATAAATCGCTTGGTATTTTTCGATCGTTTTGTAGCTTCCCTTTTCAAGTCCTAAACAATAACAAAATGTTCTTTAACAAGTACCTATACAGTGATAACAGAGGTAAGTTTAACACCCTAGCAACGTCCAATCAATTCCCGTCAATCAAGTGAGTGATTTCGGCTCCAAAATTTGACGCACCTTTTACTCTTTTGACAGTAGGAAAAATGTTCCCCTATGTATTAAACGACAAGGAAACGGCCGCTAAAAAATCACAAGAAGAGACCAATTCCCCAAAACAAAAGTCCTCAAAATACCTCAATGTACCGTCACAAAGTAAGTTCAATTTTAGTAAGACTTGTTGTCACTAATTGTTGACTTGCAGACTCGCCTAGTCCGCCTGAGTCACCTAAAAAATCACGACGAGAGTCCATATTTGAATTCAAGTCAGAAGCGGCGAAAAAAGTTGAACTCATTGCGAAAAGCAGGGATGAAAGGAGGCAGAAACAGGCAGAGGAGAAGTCCATCAGGGATCATATGGGGATCACGGAACAGAATAATCCCTATTACGAGTTCGCGAGAATGATAAATGAGTTCAAAAGTACTCTCGAGTTTCATCCGTTAAAAGACTCCGATCAAGTCGTGGAAAACCAAATTACAGTTTGTGTAAGAAAACGTCCTTTGAACACTCGAGAAAAAAACAGGAACGAAGTTGATGTCATTACTGTCCCTACCAAAAACCAGATGATTGTCCACGAACCCAAACACAAAGTCGATTTGACCAAATATTTAGATAATCAACATTTTCGTTTCGATTACGTCTTTGACGAAACTTGCACAAATGAGACAGTTTACAAATTCACAGCCCAACCTTTAGTTAAGACAATTTTCGAGGGCGGAATGGCCACTTGTTTTGCCTATGGTCAAACCGGAGCTGGCAAAACCCACACCATGGGAGGCGAGTTCAAAGGCAAACAACAAAACTTCAAAAATGGAATTTATGCCTTGGTAGCAACTGATGTTTTCAAATTCTTGACTCAACCGCCTTATAAAGACAAAAACTTGGTCGTATATGCAAGTTTTTTTGAAATTTACGGTAAAGTGGCTTATGATCTTTTGGCAAAAAAGCAACGCTTGAGAGTCCTTGAAGATGGCAAACAGGTGGTCCAAGTGGTGGGTTTAACTGAACGCATGGTTGGTAAAGTCGACGATATTATGGACTTGATCAAGAAAGGGAGTTTGGAGAGGACTTCAGGCCAAACCTCCGCTAATTCTAACTCGTCAAGGTCACATGCAGTGTTTCAAATTATTTTAAGGAGGGCTGGAGGGAAGCAACTTGAAGGAAAATTTTCTTTGATTGATTTGGCAGGAAATGAACGAGGGGCCGATAATTCAAAATCAAACAAACAAACAAGGCTTGAAGGGGCTGATATTAACAAGTCGCTTCTTGCACTTAAAGAGTGTATAAGAGCTTTGGGCAAAAAAGGAAAACATTGTCCTTTCAGAGAGAGCATCTTGACCAAAATCCTCCGAGATTCCTTCATCGGGGAAAAGTCAAGGACTTGTATGATTGCGCTGATTTCGTCTTCGGTGGGGTCTGTCGATCACACGTTGAACACGTTAAGGTACGCTGATCGAGTCAAAGAATTAGTCGCTAATGATTTCTGTGAGGTGAACTCCGGAGAGTCGGAAGAGAGTCAGAATGAGAACGATCTTTTATCTTTAGAATATGATCTACTGGAAAATAGCAAAAACGTGATTGATAGTTGTGTCTATTTTCACCAAAAAGCGTGTCAGCTTTATGACAATAGCAAGAAAGTCGGCTACAGTAAGTATGAGTTTGCCAAAAATTGGAAGAATTTGTTAAGAGAGATGATCGATGTTCAGAAAGTTGCTTATATTAAAGCGTCGGAATTTTGCGACATGCTTGAAGATGAGGATTAATTTTTATAGTGGCAATAAATTTTAATAAATCATTGATTAAAACAACAAGTAGCTTTTGTTTCATTTTACTCCAGTTTATTTATAAATTTTCAAGTTTAGCGCTCTGTCTAAATTGCAGACCTACTAACTTACCGACCCAAAAAAATGACAGCTGACAGATAAGACAGTCAGCCAGCAGCACCTCCCATGAACAGTCAGACCTAGTAAATGTATTTTTTTAGTTAAAACTCACAATTTCTAATCATTTAAAATGATTTTGCTCGAAACAAATAATCGGGTAGTTGAAGAGACATTAACCGTGAAAATAAAAAGTGCACAAGCTGGGTAAGTCCATTTATTTACATTAAAAAAACAACCGGTAGTTTTGGGGTGAGGCTTTTATCGCCAAATTTAGACGCAACTTTATTATCAACATTATCTAAACTCGGTTGATATTTGTCATAAGGAAAATCCGCCCAACCACTGAAATAAAATCAAGTTTTATTAACCTTTTTTCCAGGTTAAAAAACGAGTCTATCGACATAACAGTGTCAGATTTCGACGGTGTTTTGTACCACATTTCAAACTTAAACGGAGACAAAACCAAAATTAGGGTAAGCCCCAACTCCCGTCCAAAACCACACCAAAACAGCCCCATTCCAGATAAGCATTTCCCTTAAATTCTACAAAGAACTCCAGGAACACGGCGCCGACGAACTTCTCAAACGCGAATATGGACCTCTCCTCGTCGCCCCTGAAGACGGATACAACGTCTCGATTTTATTTGATCTTGAAAACATCCCGTCTGATTGGCCTCAAGTCATCAAAAAAATCGGTCTTTTGAAACGCAACTGTTTCGCCTCTGTTTTTGAGAAATATTTCGACTTTCAAGAAAACGGCGACGAGGGACAAAAACGGGCCGTGATTCATTACCGCGATGACGAAACGATGTATGTTGAAGCGAAGGCGGATCGAGTCACTGTCGTCTTTTCCACGCGTTTTCGGGACGAAGACGACGTCGTAATTGGAAAGGTGTTTATGCAGGAGCTCAAAGAAGGGTTGAGGGCGTCGCATACAGCCCCTCCTGTGCTTTTCAGCCACCGGGAGCCCCCCCGAGAGCTGCAAAACACCGACGCGAAAGTTGATAATAACGTCGGGTACGTCACTTTTGTTCTGTTCCCGAGACATACGGCGCGGAACACGAGGGACAACACAATAGATTTAATTCACATGTTTCGCCATTATCTACATTATCACATCAAATGCTCCAAGGCGTACATTCACAGTCGGATGAGGGCCAAGACGTCGGATTTCCTCAAAGTTTTGAATAGGGCCAGGCCTGAGAATAAGTCGACAGATAAGAAAACTATAACGTATGTTACTTGCCATTTTGGTGTTTATTTTTTACTATCTGATTTATTTTTGTTGCAGAGGGAGAACTTTTGTTCGACGGGATTGATGTGTATAGTACTAGTGAACTTTGCTTGTAAGATCAGCTCAAAAAAAAGGACTAATAACTGCCGACAATTTATTAAACTTAACTGTTTCATTCAATTTTCTCATCAGTCAGTTCTTGCACAGCCTCTCTTGCAGTTTTATTTATTAAGTTAAACGGTTCATTCAGTACTGAATGCTACAGTTCAGTTTTTAAAACTAGTGGTGTAATAGTGCTGATTTGTCAGCTGGATACTTTGTACATACAGACTCAATATTTTAACTGTGCTTCCTTTGAGATATGGGTAAGCACATCATTATTGTGAATTATATATTTCTAATACATTACAAAGTTTAATTACATATTTTTTACCCCATTTGTAAATTCGTGTTTTAAGTTTTTTACTATGTATCCGCTTGTCGATTTTATTCTTCTTTGGAATTATTCTTTTTACTAATGAGAATTTAAGAAAACTTGACGCGCCAAATAAATTATCTAACTTAACATAGTTTAATAGGTAATAAATAAATTGTCAATTTCTATAGCAAGATGCAATATTTGTATTTCTGTAGGCAATTGGAGGCATTTTTCATTTTCATTTCAATTTTATATTACATTAATTATTACAGAGCAAGACACTGTTTAATTGAATAATAGAAAATAAAATGTTATTTTAAAATATGTGTATTATTTTTCTATTTACGTACGATTCGAAAATGTGTGGAAAACGATTGTTGTTTGGTAGTTTGATGCCCCAGAAGTATAACCACAGAACAGATAGATAACTGAGGCGAATTTTTTGCTAAAGTGACTGTAAATTAGTGTAAATAATGATTGTGACAAAAAAATTATTGTGGCAACATTGAATTATTGGTAATACGTCAAAAATGAATGGCATACTGACATTTGAATTTGATAATCAACAACGTCGCCAAATTATTAATTCAAATTTGTTGCCAACGTGCCGACGAGAATAAGACTGACACTCCGTATTTTACTACACTGTTAAAAACAACTTATTTGTTTTTATTGTGGCTCATTAAGACTACACAATTTTCTTAATTATTTGGCATTTGGCTTATCCAGTTAAAAACTTCTTATCATTTTTCTCAACTTGCAGATTCTACAGATACGAACTTCGCGGCCGAAATTCAGTGTCAAGAACCTAACGAACCTAACCCATAAATTTCACGTTTTACGGTTTATTTATCATTTAAAAAATGATAAAAACAGCATTAGACCCTCTTGTAAATAAAAACATCAACATTCGTTTATTCCGAAATGTTGATAATGTATCAGACTTACGTAAAAAAGTAATATCAGGTCAACTTGAGTGTTGTTTCATAAATCCAAAACTGATTGTGGACCCGTTTCAAATAGTAGTAGCGACAAATAAGGCTCTAATTGCTGAAAGTCGCACCACAAAAACGATTTTCACAGAGATTTTATTCAATTTGTCTGTTTCTAAACACATAACAAAAAGTTTGCAACAGTTTGGGATTACTGATGACTGTAAAGACTTGTTGGTGGTGACTGTAGAGGACGACGATAGTGGCATTATTTCTGAAATTAAAGGAAAAGAAGTGGAGTTGAGGGCACTTGAGGAAATTCGTGATTTAAACGCTATTAAGAAGGAATACAAAATTGGTCTAAATGAAGAGAAGACTACCACAATTTTGGATTCTGTTGTTAGTAGGGTAGCCACCAAGGATTTTATTTCGTATTAATTGTGTTAATAATGGTTAAAGATAAATAAAAACAAATAAACAAATATTGTTTGATTTAGAGGTTTGATATTCCCGCTTTAAGTTTGACATCCAAAATCCCTGAAATGTCAGTTGGTAATAAAATGGCAGTTTTGTTGTCGTGCCATGCGTCTAAATTTTAGGTGTTGAATTACGTTTTTTGATGTAATCTTAACGATTTAAAAGCAGTCCCGATACACAACTTCCTAGAACACTTAAAACTCAAAAGAAAAATATGACAGAGTTAAATGTCAACGGCAATGAAGAAAAAGACAGTGAAAAGCAGGCTGTCTCAGATAAGGACCTGCCTTTGAGTTTTATGCAAGACAGGCACTTGGAGCCCATCGAAGGCGTTGAATGTATAACCCAGACATGGCGGATGAAAGAACGAGTAATTGCAAAAACTCTCACAAGTTAATTTGTTGTAATTTAAAAATTCCAGATGAAAACAGTGAGTGTGGCTCTAGTTTTGTGTTTGAACGTAGGTGTGGACCCTCCCGACGTAATGAAAACTCAACCTTGTGCGCGTTTAGAGTGCTGGATAGGTATAATTAGGTCAGCATCATGATTGTGGAATTCAGGTCATGTTCCAGATCCCTTAACCTTGTCTGCGCCAAAGTCAATCCAAAAAATCGGCGAAAATCTGCAAGCGCAGTATGAGAGATGGCAGCCTCGGGCACGCTATAAACAATCCCTAGATCCCACTTCAGAAGAAGTAAAAAAACTATGCACATCACTGCGTAGAAATGCCAAAGAGGAACGCGTTCTGTTCCACTACAACGGTCATGGAGTTCCTAAACCGACGGAAAACGGTGAAATCTGGGTGTTCAATCGAGTAATCAGTCCCAAAATTGCCTCCATTTATATTACTAACAAATTTTCCTAAACAGACTTACACGCAATACATCCCCCTGTCCATTTACGACTTACAAACCTGGATGGGGGCCCCCTCGATCTACGTTTACGACTGCTCGAACGCAGGTATTATAATCGAATCATTTGAGCGTTTTGCCGCCCAACACGAAGCCGAATATGAGCAAGCGACGAGTCAGTCTCGCCAAAATCCAGTGGTGCCACCTTTGCCTTCATATAAAAGTTGTATACAGTTGGCGGCATGTGGGGCGAAGGAAGTTTTACCGATGAATCCGGATTTACCGGCCGATTTGTTCACGTCTTGCCTTACAACGCCAATCAAGGTCGCCTTACGATGGTTCGTTCTACAGTCTACCTCAAAACTAGTGCCCAAAGTCACTCTAGATTTGATTGATAAGTGAGTATGAATCGTTGAAACAATTTGTTTTGGTTTGGTTGGAAGTGGGCCAAGGTTAAGCAATGAGGCGGACCGCAGACTAAACGTAAACACTGTCAAAATTAAATCGTGATGATTTAGATGGTTAATGAACTTTCACAAGATTTGAAACACGAAATGGACTGTGATGCTATTTTTAAACAGTAATTAGTCACTTTTTAAGTGGTCCGAAAAAATTACAAAGATAAAATATTTTTCAACAACAGGTAATTGAAACAAAATTATTAGATTGATATCTTTTCAATAACATTTTTTTTATCATGAAATTATAGATTACCTCGCACTTGAATTAGGTAATTAAATATTTATTTTTAGACTTAATTTACCTACGTATCATTAGACTTAATCTGTTATTACTAAAATGAATTATGAAGCATTTTTGTTTGCATTTCTAACATATTTTCTATTGTTAAGTTCTAAATATAACTAATAGAACTTATTTTTACGCACTTTAAAACTAAAGCTGTTTTTGTTTGTTTTCCTTGGCAAAGCAGTTTTTAATCCCTAGAGAATTACAAAAAATTATTCTAATGACACTGAATGGTCTTGACCCAAACCGCATTTAAAGGTCGTTTCTAATCATGAAACATAAACAGATAAAATGTAAGTCTATAAAATTCCATTATCTCCACTTTTTTCAGCTTTTTAAATATACGACTTAGAAATTATTATATAATTTTTAAAAAACTTATAATTTGCAACTTGATTAGTGAAACAACAATATTTTGTTTTTCCTTTATGTTACAGAATTCCAGGTCAAATAACTGACCGTCGCACAATGCTTGGTGAACTTAATTGGATTTTTACAGCAATTACAGACACCATTGCCTGGAATACGTTGCAAAGAGGTAGATTTTACTTGACATGATCCATGTAAAAAAGTCAAAATACAAAATTACAGATCTTTTTCAAAAGCTTTTCCGTCAAGATCTCCTCGTGGCCTCCCTTTTCCGCAACTTCCTCCTCGCTGAACGCATCCTCAAATCGTGCGATTGCACTCCTGTTAGTTCCCCACCATTACCACCAACCTCCCAACACCCCATGTGGAACGCTTGGGACTTAGCCCTAGATTTGAGCCTTGGCCAACTTCCTGGAATCATCAACAGAAACGAACCGTTCCAAAACTTACCTTTCTTTGAAGAACAATTGACAGCGTTCCAAGTATGGTTAGAACTCGGGTGCGAAGAACGGAGTCCCCCCGAACAATTGCCAATCGTTTTACAAGTCTTACTTAGTCAAGTCCATCGGATGCGAGCACTAGAACTGTTAGGAAGGTTTCTCGACTTGGGACCTTGGGCTGTCAATTTGGCCCTGTCAGTCGGGATTTTTCCCTACGTTCTTAAATTGTTACAGAGCAGTGCTAAGGAGTTGAGGCCTTTGCTGGTTTTTATCTGGGCTAAAATCTTAGCAGTCGATAATGTAATTTCGTGATTTGGAAAGAATCAAGGGTTTAATAATTGTTTTTTCAGACGTGTCAAGGCGATTTGGTGAGAGATAGTGGCCATAAATATTTTTTGTCAGTACTTCAAGATACTTCACTTTCGGTGAGTTAAGTTGTTGTGATTTAAGTCGGTTTGATTGGTTGGTTTAGTCGGAATATCGGACACAGTCGGCTTTTGTTTTGGCGTCAATTGTTAATAATTTCCATGATGGTCAAGAAGCAGCCTTGAAAGGTTCTTTAGTTAGTATCTGTCTCGAACAATTGAACGATCCGAGTCCCCAATTGAGACAATGGGTCGCCATCTGTTTAGGTAAATTATGGGATCATTACGAAAATGCCCGCTGGACCGGCGTTAGAGATATTGCTCATGAAAAACTCTACAAGCTTCTCAACGACCCAAGCCCGGAAGTAATAGATTTATTTTTGTTTTGTTCCGATTGTCATTTTTTTTCCTAGGTTCGAGCTGCAGCTGTTTACGCTTTAGGTACTTTTATAAATTCGGTGACCGAACGATCAGAACATGCCAACAATATCGACCATGCAATAGTTATGACATTAGTTAAGAAAGTCAGTAATGATATGAGTCATCTAGTCCGTAAAGAATTAGTTAATGCACTTCAGTGGGTCGTTTTAGCTTTCGAACATGTGTTTATAACTTTGTCAATGAAGGAGATTCTAAGTCATTATCCTTTGCAAGAAGTCAACGTGACTTCGCCTAGTTTGAGACGAATCGGTAGTAGGGATAGGTTACGAACTTCCGAGGATAGCGTAGATAAAATGAAAAGAGTCTCCTCCAGCTCTTCTATAAACAACATGGGACAAATGAAAGGTTCCCTGAGCCACACCGGGAGTCTTGGCACATTACCGGGACTCGGTTATGGTTCAATTTATATGAAAATATGGGACGCTTTGTGTTCACTTGAGACCGACCCGCATCCCGAAGTCGAATCAATGTGCAAGACTATAACAAAGTATATTTCAAACAAAGTGAAAGATTCGCGCGATTTTGTTGATAATAAATGTGCGAGTTTGCCCCCGAGTCCCAATCGGGGTAACTACTTATCAGGCGAAAGCCCCCCGACTCTCCACCCCGCACCCGACATCCCGAAATACACTCCCAGAGGGCGCAAAATTCACCCCAATATCATTAACGAAGAACCTGACATAAAAATCAAGCAACGGCAAGCTTTAGTTAGTACGAAATTTATCGAATGGTCGTGTAAGCGTTTCGCACAATCGAAGCGAAAGAGTGGTTTCGATATCGAATCGCCGCAATATTACGAACGTGATTGGAGGTATACCAGGTGAGTCGTAATTTTTCTTAAAAGTTACATTTAATAAATTATTATTTATTAGGAATAATAATATAAGAAGAGAAGCTTTGGATGAGACTTCGCGTATCCTCACATCGAAATTAGAGTCTCAGATGTTCAATACAAGAACCTCTCTCCCTCCCAGTGTTCTCCAGTTTCACCCCTTTGACCAACAAATCGCCGTAGCCGGGAAGGATCATTTCGGGTTTGTTTACTCGTTTTTGTTTGTTTACTTATTTGATTGGTTGATTTAGGATTTGGGATTGGGGGACTGGTGCTAAGACGACAGTGTGTCATAATAAATCAGCAAAGTCTGGCTCGAGTCGCATCACTTCGTTGGAGTGGATCAATGCCCATGATGTGGCAATGTTGATGGTGGCTTCGGATGATGGAAGCGTTAAAGTTTGGAAGCCGAATACGGGTCATAGTAGAGAGCCGACTTTGGTTAGTGCATGGCAAGCTTTAAGTGATTTGAAATGGAAATATTCGGGAACGTTGTTGTCGTGGGAGCAGTACACGCAGACTTGCATTGCGGCGGGGGACTCGAGGATTATCCGATTTTGGGATGTAGAGAAGGAGTTGTATGCCTATGATATTATGACAGGTGAGGATCGATGTGAAGTTGGTGGGCATGATGTATGATATTTAACGGTTGGTAGCACAGTTGATGACACTGATTGCTAGTTAAGGGGATTTCGACCAAAAAATAACGGTAAATTCTGGGGTTGTGGGTGACGTGAAGCAAAACCAAGTAATGACATAACCGAAAAAAAATTTAGAACGGTATTCACCACTTGGGATGAGTAATGATTGACATCACCATAAACCACCAGTAATAAAACTACGTAAATAAGTCGTACTATTTACTTTTCCTTTAAACAAAATTTGTAGAACAAAACAGAAAGGGAAAATTTTATACTTTTAAAAGTTAAGGTTTTGTGAAAAATATTCTAACAATTTCTATAAATTAAAAAAAAAACAGGTAGCACGAATTAAAATAAAATGGTTATAATAATAACAATAACTTATTCTTTCACATTTACAAAAAGTATACTCTCATTACACACCAAATGTAACATTGTAATAATAATATTAAAAAGTAAAATGAACCTCTTCGTATAAAACAATGATTCATCCTTTAAAATTTTTTCGTAAGTATATCATGAGAATCATGACAAAAAATAAGACACTTTTAAAATTGCACTAATTTGGACCTCGAGAATTCAAATTTAAAAAATTATCAGATTATCTTTGCTCTGTTAGTTTTTACCAAAGTGCGAAGCTATAATTTGAGGAAGGTGTTTTTGAAGAGTTTATAATATCACTGTTATCATCAACAGGGCCGTAATCTTCATCTTTATTTTTGTTGTTAATTTTTTTTTTATTTTACTTCTACAACATTGGAAACAAAAGAGGTGCCTACATGATAATATTAAATTGACAGTTCTGTCTTTTTTTTCTCAAAGAATGGCTTGAAAAAAAATTGAATTCATTTTTTTGCTTTGCTGAAAGACTTCTATCAGCATCCGAGAGTTGGTCCCACACTTTTGAATCATCCTGTATGTACGGGGTGTCCAAAGTTTTAGGCTCAAGAATAAATATTTGTAATTAAATAAAAAAGAATTTTGATAGTGAATGTAAAGGATAAGAGGATTAAATAAAAAAATAAATAAATTTGATGTTTTAATATTGTCCAAAATTTTTAGCGTATGGCAGTGAGACCTTAAAAATTAAATTTTGGGAAAAGAAATTCAATTAACTGGAATATTTTTTATATGATAAAATTCTTTGTTTTTTTTTTCTGTGGTATTTGTAATATAAAGTTGATAGGTTTTGACTAATTAACATTTTAATATTGCAAATCTGAAACTTGGAATAATTTATGGGGGGTTTGTGGTAATTGGTGATCAAGCCAAAATTTCTTGACAAGAAAAAGGTCCCCAATGACATTTATGACGTACCCAGGCTCAGAACAGAGTGTAAGGATAGAGAAATGCGAAATGTTTCCATTCGCATATAATTTTGACTGATTATTGATTGATACATCGGATTGCAAAATTGAAAATTTTTCCTAGTTTCTGACATGAATCTTCATGAGATTATTAAAAATTAATTAAACACATTTTCATTATAATAAAAATTTAAAAAAATTAAAAAATAAAAAATCGAAAATTTGTCTTTTTTATCTCATATAGAAAAATATTCTCTTTCACACAGTGAAAACAGAAATTAAAAATATTGATACGTTTTTGAGTTATTTGGAAGCAAATTTACCATTGCTTTTCCCTATACCTCTAAACGGTCGAATTCCCGTTAAAAGAAAAATGCAAAGTGTGAAGAATTTGAGTTTTTTGCCAGGGGCGGACTGCTCAGTCACGTGTATTGACTCGACATTTTCCGGCGTTTCGCACGAAAATTACAGTAAGGCTTATCTGGAGCGCGAAAAGGACGACGAAGGGATTAGTGTCGACGATGATGATTTCAAATGGACTCGATACGGAATGGTGGTGGCCGGCTACCAAGACGGTTCAATCCGCGTCTTTGACCGGCGTTGCAGTCCCACAGAAGCCCGAATTGCCGTCTTTATGGAACATTCCGGTCCTGTTTTAGGCGTTCATTTACTCGGTAACACGTTTTATAGTGGAAGGTAAGTCTGACGATTTTTTTGGTTTTTCTCTAACCGATGTTGGTAGTACCGACGGCCATGTCCGAGTGTTCGACATACGCAACCACAGAGTGGTGCACACGACCCAAGCCATCCAGAATAACATGTCCTGTTTTGCGTTGCATCGCGGAACTGCGACTTATGCCTGGTATGTTGGTAGTACTTGAATTGAATTGGAGATTATGTGGTGGTTTTAGCGGGTCTATGAATCAAAATGTGAGTATTTACGGGTTCAACGGGTGCTTCTTGAATACGATCAAGTTCTACGAGGGTTTCATGGGTCATCGTACGGGTAATGTCACGTGTTTGAACTACCATCCGTTGAAGGTGGCGCTGGCGACCGGCACATCCGACTGTTCGGTGAGCGTTTACTGTTTGGAAGGTAAAAGGTGACGCGATTCACAGCCCTAGAGCTCGGTTTGGAGCTTTTTGGGCTATTACTACTAGCGGAAATTTTTTTGCTTTCGCTTCGGTTTTATTGTAAATATTTACGTTGAATAACTTGAAATTTTATCGTGTATATATTTTATTTGAAGAAAAACGCTTTATTGTAGCTATTAACCGAGTAATAGTACAGTACAGGGAATTTTGTTGTTAGTTTTTTAAGACTGAGATTGTTATTTTAACGAATTTGACTTGTCTTATTTTTTCAATGTTAGAGCGGGGATTAGGCCTACAGAGTAGGGTGATTTATACGTAGCATTGCCAGTCTGAGATGTGACCAGTTGTTAAGTAATTTTAAGCAAACGATTCGATTTTTTTTATTATTGTGATAAATACAATGCAGCATAGAGAGAGAATGTTCGTCGTTATATTGTACTCAAGTTTAATCTTTAATTCTTTTAGAGTGAATCTTTTTTTAATCAAATGGACCTTCCAATCCGATTTTGATTTATCTAAACTCTCGATTATCTAATTATTTTATAAATACACTCGCCTTGGCACAACATTTGCACAAAAATCGTGAGTTAACTCCGTTAAATCTAATCAGATTGTTGAAGATTCTTTTTTTTTTTTTGTATAAAAACGTTTTATTGTGGCATAAGTCTTTTAATTTACAATTATAAAATAAATATTATATCACGATATGTGTATCAAACGTTATCATAGTAAGACATTTTCCTTTCTTTTGTACTCTTGTCGATTAGTGGAATCTGACAGTCATTTATTTTGTTAGAATCGCTGTCACTAATGTTGTCAACATTATGACACACTTTTAAATTATCAAAGTTGATTGTTTGGCTCCAGGTATTAAACACATGTGGTTTGACATTCATAAAAGTAACTTTTTTGTTCGTTTTGTTGAAAGTTTTGACTAGATTGTCGATTGTCTGAAACAAAACATAGTCACAGTCGCCTAAAGAACTATTTTATCTACCTGACAAGCTGCGTAGTCGACTCTTATAATATTTGAACAGTCAAGGACGATAGGTAAATTACGTCTATTATTATAAGCTTCAATTATATTGGTTGTTAAATAATCAGTTGCAGCGTAATAAAGGCCGACTTCCGGTTTTATATAAATGTATTGGTTTCCTTGGCTGTCCTAAAATATACAAAAAAAAATAATAAAATACTTTCTTATTTTTATGTTTTATCAGTTTAAAACTACTCACAACACGAATTTCCTTCGTAATTTGGGGCCTCGCCCACACTTTTAATAAAATTAATAGATTTAAAAGACCACCCGCAATAATTCCAATCTCCACACCGTAACACACTCCAATAATCAGTGTCGCCAATGTGAGGAAAAAATCAAACTCTAAACAAAAGAATAATAAAAGTCGGTTCGAACTTTTTTGGCTACTCACTGTTACATTTCCATAATTTGGGGAAAATTTCATAATCAAACATTGTGATAATCGCCGATATCAAAATCGCGGCGAGAGTCGACCTTGGAATGTAATAAAAATACGGTGTTAGAAAACTCAAAGCTAGTAGAATTACAGTTCCTGCAAATGTTTTATGTTTTGGATTTAGAAGAAAAAAGAAGATTGTTTACCTGAGTAAATCCCCTGCAAAGGGGTGCGTACCCCGCTACTATTGGCCACGGCCGATCGGGTGAAAGCGCCACAACTCGGCATTGCCTGGACAAATGACCCGAAAATGTTGCAGAGGCCCAATGTCATCATTTCCTGGGTTGCATCCACGATTGTCCCACTGACTAATTTCAAATCAGTGTTATGTTGGTAGTGATTTTTTACTTACCGAAGGCTTTGGCGATGGCAACATTGGCTAAAACCCCGGCAATCGGCAAGACGAAAATCCCAGAACCCAGGGTTTGGACCATTTCGAAAATTCCAATAGTTTCATTACCATTATGGGTACTGAAATGGGGGATTTGGACCTTTGGGAGGCCCGACGGTACTTTCCCTGATAAAACAAAGGGGGAACCCCCGCGATACTCGTAGAAATAATACCCCAAAATCGAGGTTATCAACACGATAAGGGCATTTTTTGAAATTGAGAGCAACCAAAGTGTCTTTTTTAATGCTTTATTCCGCGTTTTAATAATTGCCAACTGTTTGAAAATGAATAAGAAAGCGATGCAGGAGAATCCGAGGAGAGTATCAGCGAGTCGGATTTCGTTAATTCTGGTTGCAATTTTATAGAAAACGTCGAAAACGCCGTGATTTTTCAGTTTCCTCAATCCGAGTAAGTTTTTGAGTTGTGAGGTGACTATGGTGACCGACATTGCCGACGTGAAGCCGGAAGTAACACAAGGGGAAATAAAATCAACTAGAAAACCTATCACAATTTTTTTATTATTTTTTTACTATTCCGAATTGATAGATAAACTTACCTAATTTTAAGAGCCCCATTAAAAATTCGACACACCCGACTAAAAGAGACAAAAGGATCACATAGTCGACTGATAAGCTTTCCGTATACGAGAATGTTAAGAGTGCCATCAGACTCGTCGGTCCGATTGAAACTTGTTTAATTGTTCCGAATAAAACATAAGTGAAAGAGCCGATGAAGGCAGTGTAGAGGCCGTATTGGGCAGGCAAACCGGCCAAATTAGCGTAGGCTATGGATTGGGGCATCATGGTGAGTCCGACTGAGATTCCGGCGATAAAATCGGCCACTATGTCCGATTTTGAGTACTTAGGGAGCCATTGGAGTATGTGGACTCGTCTTTGGAGCAGTTCGAAGAGAGAAAAATTTCTCTTAAGTTTTTCTAACGGCTTGGACATGACTCTATATATGCACTTTTTCCACACTTCACTATCGCACGTTAAAACGAACAGTGACAAATAAAATATGGGAATTTTAAATAAAATTAAATGCAGAGCAAACAAGAAAGACGTTATGATTTATTGGAACGTTTTTAAACTTTTCGACAAGGTTGAGAACAACATGATAATGTTATTTGCTTTTGTCTTAATTGCGTTCGTAGTAATGCGTTTCTTAGTTTCCAGAGGTTTATCTCTCGCTCAAAAAATCAACTATCGATTAATAAAACTTTCCAAAGGGATCTGTGTCGACTCAAATAAAACAAAGTGGTTATCTTTAACAATATATTGTCAACAAGCCACAATTTTAAAACAATAAATGAAATAGTACAACTTCCTTAATATCACCCATTGATTTACTGTAACAAAATAATATCGGAAAATTCCTTTTTCGTTCAACAATTTACGTATTAGGCTAAATATTAGTCCACTGGTTAAATTTACATAACAAATTTAATATTAAAAAAATAAAATTAAAACACAATAATAAAAAAAAATGTTTGTATTGCGATTTAGAGGTAAAATACTATGATACAAGTTCACATTGTCCTTTTGTACAAATATAAAAAATAGGTAGGCTCTAATAAAACTGTGGCACTAATTCGAGAGCTACTCAAGCACTCTCGTGTATACAAAGGGTACCTATTTGTTGCGCTACATCCGTGCGAATTTGACACATTTGGACTGTTTTGATTTTTACAGTGAACACACTTTGTTCTATATACTAATATTTTCAAAATCCCACTTAACATGGCATGATATCCCATATTTTTCCACTCCGAGTTTAACAGTCTTTAGAAGGTTATTGTATTGTGACATCGTCTCGTAAAAACTGAAGGCCAAGGATATGGGGACCTTGACCCTCATGTTGGTCCATTGACTGGTCCGAGATTTTAGCAGTAATTTGGGGAAGCCCCAACTTAGCAGAATTATCAGTTTTAGAATTGTTTGATGTGTACGGACTTATTGATCAAGTTTAGTGATTCATGCTAACTAAATTCGTCCCAACTAAAATGTCTCGATAAGATGAAAAGGTCACAATTGCTCGTTTATCTCCCAAGGGGGGATTTAATGAGTTAATTTTTAAATTTTCCGATTAATTATAGCAGAATTTCGCAATTATGTATTTGACAGTTTTTCCAGCGTTAAGAACTTTTTTAAAGCATTAAAAACACTCAAAATAAAATAATATAACGAATGATTTTTTTTTAATGAGCACATGTTATAAAATTATGTAAAAATACAAAAATTCATTTGTTATTTTTAATTTTAATGTAATAAACATTGTTTTATGACAATGTTCCTGTCAAATATATGACACTAGTATCATCATGTATTCTTGAATTTAGTTAGCGGGAACGGCAGATCTCGCAACATTAAACAGATACCTGTTAAAAGAAATGCCAATTTATGTCTTAACAAATTCAACCATAAATTAAATCCGACTACGTTGGAAACAAAAAAGACATAATATGGAAATTGTCAGTAGTTTTTTCTTAATAAAAAGAACTTGAAAAAAAATCTTATTTCATTTTTATGCTTAGCTGAAAGTGTTCTATGACTATTTGAGTCCGACAGTTTAGAATCACCTTGTATATGGCTATGGCACTGGTATTATCATTTAGCCATTAAAATGACAGCTAAATACATACTTAAAACATTGCTGAAAAGAATAATTTAAGCTGAGATCAGTTTTTAAGTACGTATAAATAAAATTTAGTAAATCTGTATAAAGTCATGTTTAAAACAGTTGATTGTTGATTTACATGAGCATGAGTCAGCTTTCATGCACAAATGTATAATAATGTACAAATATTTTTTTCGTGGTTTTCCTTAAAGATTTTAATTAAATATGTTTAAATTTTATTACAGCCTCGTAATAAATTAACCTTCACTTATTTAATGACATATCTTTTAAAATAATATTAAAAAAAAACAGGCCACGGTCAATTGTATTAAGTTATTAAATATTTAACTGCATTTCCGTTTGTTTTTTCTATAATGAAAAAGGAAATAAACACTTTAGACTTTTAACAAAAACAGCTGCCAGCTTTTGCATTTTAGTCATTAATTCATAATTAATGTCTCTAATTTTTTAACACAAATAAGTGAAAAATCATGTAAGGTGGTAATTATAATTGACAGTTTACCAATTATTGTTGTAAATCTTATTATGCTTTATAAATATATATCATAAACTGTAAAGGTCGTTTCCATCGTAGGTTGGCAATATTGCCAATTAGTTTTAGCGCTTTGGAAAAACTTTTTTTTTTAAATAAGTCAAAAAAATATGCGACACCATGCCCAAAATACAATTTCACACTAATTTCTCTGCTATCAAAATTGTTCTGCCCCTAGCAGCCGTAAAACCTCTTCATACGACAACCAAAAGGTCAACGACCACGGCGCCATCCTCAACCATATGGGTAAAAACCCTTTATAAAGCGCCCCGAATCCCTCATTTTTTACCGACTTTTTTAAACAATCGATTGACGATTTATACAACAAACCTTTCCCATGCTCATCCATTGGCTGATTCATGACTCTTGTTTTAATTACATCTGCGGGAGTACCCATCAGTGCTGCCACCAACCCCGCCATACTACTCGCTAAACAATGGACTAAATGATTATCTTCTAACGTAGTATTCCTCATGATGAATCTTTTGGCCGAATCGTAGGTCGTTAAATCGCCTAAATTGACCAATGCGGCCCTTTGTACATTCGGAACTGACCCTTTCCAGAGTCCTCTCACTCCCGCAGTCCTGACTGTTTTCCTAAAGGCGTCGTAAAGACCGTTAACTCGTGGGGCAAGGCCCATGATTTTGCGCTTGCCTTCCATTTGTAATTGCACTTTGAGTAGGTCGGCGGGACTGGCTATGTATTGTGCGAAAGCCCCCGCTGAGACCCCACACAGGGCGGATTTCCACACAGGGAAGTACTGCTCCGTGCTAGAGTCGAAAAATTTGTCTTTAAGATGCTTGTAGGTGACAATTCGGGTGCCTGAGTAGAACAAGTGGCGGTACAAGGCCGCGTGAACCCCCTGCCATAGCTTTAAAAAGCCCTCTTCGGTAACGATGCCCACGGCAGTGCGGAATAAGCCCCGATAGGGGGCTTTGACCATCTTCGCATCTTTGGTGTTTGCGACTTCACCCTGTATTTGCAGTCGTGTTTTCGATAAATCTAACGGGTAAGTCACTGCAATAGACATATGAGAGTCAAGGACATGAATAAATCAAAATTAATTTAGTCGAATGGCACGACAAACGCCAAGTTTATTCTATAAATAAAGTGTAATTTTCCACATAGTCTTAAGGGATTACTAGGTAGAAAAAGCCATTTTTCTCTAAATTTAGCAATTACAGTTACTTAATTTCTATTTTTACCTAACTCTGCATTCCACGCTCCTACAACTGATACCATGTACATACACCAGAACGAGTCCACATATTTGTGCTCTTTTGGGGGTGGAATCTGCGGCATTTTCACCAAAAATCCTACAAATCAAAGTTCTTATAAGATTCCCATAGGGCAAAGTTCAAAATCTCCCGCACAAAATTCGACCGTGGGGACAATGTGCACAAATCGTGACTGATAAATAACACAGTAAGCCTACATTTCTACTTTCCACGTGCAAAATAAAAATGGAAATTAACGTTATTACTGTTCTGAAGCAGCAATTAATTAAAAAAAAGTACAAATAAAATTTGAAAAAAGTTTGTTGTGACAACATGACAACACTGTACACTTAACCTGTAAATTAATTTGGTAGAACATTGACACCAATTTGGACCAGTTTAATGTGCAAACTCACCATTTATTTGTTTGGTAGAACTTCCGTAACTTCATTAGTTAAGTAAATAACGAATCAGTTATAGATAACAATTGTCACAATAGTGTTTTTTGGGTTACATTGTTGGTGACGTGAGAGATGAGTTGGTTGCCCTGATTTAATTTAACAAAAGTGACAGCTTAAATTCATATTTGGCAACACTGCGGTGTTGTGTGAAAAGTAGTTCCGTATTATTTCACTGGAATTCCTTTCCTCCTTACGTGGTATCCAATTCCTTTCGGATCAGCAAGTTTCACCAATTAGTAATTTAGTAAGTTTAAAGAGTTTGTTTTGTTTGTGTGATAAGAGTTGATTAGTTGTGATAAGATTAATATTCCTCCGCCATGATTGTCCTCCAGTGTTGAATTTCATCAGTGACAGAAGGGAGGGTTCTCGTAAAGGTTTGCGTAAAAACCCAACAAAAACACCAAATAAAGTGATTATCTTCCAAAGAAATGTGTTATTCGCTAGATTATAAAGCGGATGCTTAGTGTTAGTTTTTAAAAATCGATGTATTGACATTGCCGGTGCTATTTGAACTTTTTTGGAGTTAACTCTTGTGCTTTTATTTGTGATAAGACGAACTTGAACAATGGAAGCAATAGCGAAGCACGAATTCAACGCAACAGCTGACGATGAGCTTAGTTTTCGAAGATCTCAAGTTTTAAAGGTAATTTTCCAAAATTTATACTTTTACCGAAAACCACAAACTAATTTTCTAGATTCTGAATATGGAAGACGACATGAACTGGTACAGGGCGGAACTTGATGGCAGAGAAGGCCTAATTCCTAGTAATTACATAGAAATGAAAAACCACAGGTAAAATAAAGTGTAGATAGTAGCAGGTCACATGATAATAACAAAGTTCTGTTGAACAGTTGGTACTATGGTAGAATCACAAGAGCTGATGCTGAAAAACTGCTCTCAAATAAGCACGAAGGGGCCTTTCTCATACGTATTAGTGAATCCAGTCCAGGAGATTTTTCTCTATCTGTCAAGTAAGCACATCCACCAACCTGAAACAAAATTAAGCTATTTATTGCAGGTGTTCTGACGGTGTGCAACATTTTAAGGTGCTAAGGGACGCCCAAGGCAAATTCTTTCTCTGGGTAGTCAAATTTAACTCTTTAAATGAATTAGTAGAATATCATCGCACGTCCTCCGTGTCCCGTTCACAAGACGTTAAGTTGAAGGACATGGTGGCAGAAGAGGTGCTTAAATTTGAGTAAAGAATGACAAAATGCTAATATTTTTGTTTCAGTGCTTGGTACAGGCCTTATACGATTTTACTCCACAAGAAGCTGGCGAACTTGAATTCCGAAGGGGCGACGTAATCACGGTGACGGATCGCACAGATCAGCACTGGTGGCATGGCGAAATCGGGCACCGCCGCGGCCTATTCCCCGCTACTTATGTCACGCCTTATCACACATAATATATTTCTTCTAATTACGTTATTTTTTCAAAGGCATTATTTCACTACTCTTGGAAAACCTACAAACTGTGGGCGTTTTTTACTTGTTTTTTAATTTATGTGATTTTGTAATTTTTTAGATGATTTTAATTGCTCATTGTTTTTGGAAAATCTCTTAATGTAGTTTTAAGATCAAATATTTTTATATTGGATCAATTGTACTGAAAAACATGAAATTAATTAATCTTCAGTTCAGTAGGTTATGGAATATATATAATGTTTAATTTTTTAGGTAGAGTGTATTACAGTTTGCTTACATTTTACTTTGTTCAGATATGCAACGAAATTAACAAGTTAGGATTGAAGTGGAGCTAGTTTCCGTCGAAGATTTAATATTTAAATCCATTTTCCTATAAGAATAGTGCACTACATTATCGTATTTTTAGCAAATCAGATGCCATTTTTGTATTTCATTAAGTTTATGGAGATTTGTGAATTTTATTTTCAAATATTTTTATTTGTATATAATGCGTTAGAGATTATGCCAGATTTTTTTATTCAACACTCAATCATTTGGCATTTTCTTGCTTTGACTTTTAGACTTTGTATGTAAATACTAACATAGTTTTATTATTACAATATTGCATTATTATAATAGGCGAGTATAAGTAAATATATGTTATATAAATAACAAACGTCTTATTCCTTTTACCCCGCTTCCGAAAAGTAAAACTACTCATCTTAAAGGGATAATTCAAATTTGCCGCTGCAATTTTAGTTGGTTTAAAACACCTATGATGACCAACATAACGGCACTAAAGTTCCTTTTCCACCAAGGAATCGAATCCCAGTGGCATCTTTCAACGTAAGTCTCTCAAATTTTGAAAAATCCAACCCATCGTTAAATATCCCATCCTTGAAATCGTTTTAAACATTTAAAAAGCGCTCATATAACACTTTTCCGTTTTTATTTATGTTAATTTTGACAAAAATTACTTAAACACAAACATAACCTAAGTCTTTCACGCATCTTTCTGTTTCAGGTTACTCGTAACTCAATTCTAACGTAAGGATGTCGGGAGGTCTTGACGTTCTCAGCCTCAAAGAGGACGATGTGACCAAAATGTTAGCCGCCGGCACCCATGTGGGTACCGCAAACGTAGACTTCCAAATGGAACAATACGTTTACAAGCGGCGCGCGGACGGAATCCACATCATCAATTTGCGTAAAACTTGGGAAAAACTGCTTTTGGCAGCTCGTGCTATTGTTGCTATTGAACATCCATCAGAAGTGTTCGTCATTTCGTCACGTTCGTATGGCCAGAGGGCCGTTTTGAAGTTTGCCGCACACACTGGGGCTACGCCTATTGCTGGACGTTTCACCCCCGGTATGATTCGCCTTTTTACAAACTTAAATACCTTTATAAATGATGATACTACTAAGGAACCTATGATCCAATGATTTTAATTGTAATTTCTGATAAAAAGTCTAGTTGTCATATTTGATTGTTTTTTGCAGTTTTGTACTGATTGGTTATTTGCAGGTGCGTTCACCAATCAGATTCAAGCGGCGTTCAGAGAACCACGCCTTTTGATCGTGACTGACCCAGCATATGACCACCAACCCATCACTGAAGCCTCCTATGTCAACATTCCAGTCATCGCACTTTGCATCACCGACTCCCCATTGAGATTCGTTGACATTGCTATCCCCGGAAACAACAAATCGGCTCACAGTATTGGCTTGATGTGGTGGCTCCTAGCCCGTGAGGTAAGTCCTTAAAACACATCAACTATCCTAGATGTGGCCAAAATGATGATCAACTTGTTCCCATTGAATGAAAATCAATGATTGTTTTATAATTTTTCCAACTGACATTCCTTTACCCTGCTTAAATCACTCAAATAGTAACAAAACATTGAGCCAAATGTATTATGAAGGTGCTCCGCCTTCGCGGAATCATCCCACGTGAGACCAAATGGGACGTAGTCGTCGATTTGTTCTTCTACCGTGAACCAGAAGAAGCCGAAAAGGAGGAACAAGCAGCCAAGGAAGCCGTCGCGGTTAAGCCCGAGGTGGTGGCCCATGAACCGCAAGATTTGGAATGGAATACCATGGAAGCCCAAGATTGGACTACCACTGAGCCTGCAGCTCCGGTTCCTGTCGCCACGGGGCCTGCTGCGCCTTACCAGCCCGCAACTACTGATGATTGGGCCGCTCAAGTGCAGGAAGAATGGGGGGCCAATGCGACCGCCACTCAACCTGCTCAACCCAATTGGGGAAGCAGTACTTCCGATTGGCATTGATTTTATTACTTATTGACTAATTTCAATAAAATAACTTTGAGGGTATACAAAATAGTTTAAGGACACCTGTCCTGTCCTATCCTTCTATCCTTGAAAGTTGTGTAAGAATCAAAACATTAAAACGCTTGAGGATAGACAAATTATTTATTAAAGTAGCTCCTACTATACACTGGACTATTAGTACTGACCGGATATTGATTATTCCCCGAATATTGATAATTTCCGGCGTATTGATAATTCGCGTCGTTATTATCACCACTGATGTATCCATATGGATTATTTGAACTGTCAGGTTGTAACCACCAAATTAAGAAAATGACGGCACCGGCCACTGTTGCCAAAATAATCGCCGGCATTAAGAAATTTTTAAAGAAACTGTTCTTGCGCAACATATTCATAAACGCACTGATTCCCTTGACAAGTCGTAAAATAATTACAGGCAAATAAGCAAAAATGCCGAGATTTTTATACAGAACTTGGACATCGTAATCAGAGTAGTCATTTTTAGACAACTCGTCTAGACTAAAGTGGAACAGTTTTTGGATAACTATCGGAATTGCAGAAATGAGTTTGTCCAAAATTCGGGAAATGACGTCAGTGAAGAAGTCGTTTTTGAAACTTGATTTGACTTCTTTAGCTGAAGGATTTAATAATTCGGGAAGGGACGGAGCAGCATAGTCGTTGGCACTACGGCCTTTGGGGGATGGGTTGCTGTCATCTGAAAAAAAAACATCAACACTTGCCATCAATACAGATTACCTTTAATTACCTAATTCTTTTTTGATCGAATTAATTTTTTCTTGAATATCAGCAAACTGTTTCGATTGACTCGTCACGTTGTTCTCTTTAAATAATTTATTGACAAAATGACTCATCTCCTTTAAAAGTTCCTCACTGTCTTTTTCTTCAACTTCGTTATTTTCGGTCGATCTTTTCGCCCTGGCTCCTTCATAATTCAAATTGGTGACCAGACTCCTCAAATCGCCGATTTGTCGTTCCAAATCATCAATAATTACCTTATCTTCTGGCCTTTGTACATATTCTGGTCGATTCAAATTATCAATCGCTGCCTGAAGTCCATTAATTTGTTGCTTCAAGTCTTCTTGGTACTTGTCACTGCTTTCTTGATAACCGAATTGTTTCTCAGAACCAACTCCATGAGCATTTCCCTGAGGGTAGTAATTCGGTGGCGCAAATTGTCCTGGAAAAAATTGTCCTTTTTGATTGTAGTCAATAGGCGGGTAAAACGGAAAATTCCGAGAATTCGCCGGCACTGTATAGCCATTACTTTTAACCCCCTCATCAACCATGCAAATGTAGGGGTGATTATTTGGAGCTAATTTCTTAGTAAGCTCGCTCATTTGTTGGGGGGTTATTGTAATTGGCGTTTGCGGTTTATTAATTAATTTAGTCAACATGGATTGAAATTGGGACGATTCGGATTCTTTGGGACGGAGACGATTTATGGCTTCTTCCAAATCGGATAAATTGGTGATTTCGAGGGAGTCACTTTTGCGTTCGGGTTCTGTTTTTTTGATCGCTTTAATGATTTGTTTTAACAGATCGTTGTCACCACTACCTTCACTTAGAGATTTTTCGAGAGATTTCAATTCGGTGAAGAGACTTTCTTGCCGTCTTTTTTTCTTTATTTGTTTCTCTAATTGAATTAGTTTTGCATGGATGTCATCTTCTTCGTCGTCATCATCAGGTAGTGACTTTAGGATCTTCCGAATATTTGTCAATTCACTTGCCCGAGCTGAGGTGTGAGGGGAATCATCGATTGTCTCATTTTTGTGCATAAATTCTTCAACAATCGATTTAAGTTTGGTAATTTCATCCTTTTGTCGCATCAATTCTTCTTCCAAAATTTCGTCTTTTTGTTTCTGCAAGTCGATTAGTTCTTTTGTCTCATTCAAATCCTTGATGACTTCCGTTAACTCAATTTTAATTATAGCGAGTTGTTCGTGATTTGGCACATTCTCTTGAATTTTCTCTTGTCTTGCTTCTTTTCCAGTATTATTTTTCTGGTCCAGGACATTTATAATTTTTTGTTGGTCTTGCAATAATTTTACTAGCTGTTTTAATTTTTTAACTTCAGTTGCCAATTCTTCAATTTGTTCTGTTTCAGTTTCTTGCACTTTGTGACACTGTTTGTGACACAGTTGTCTGATTTCATCTTCAACCGATCTTTTGTTTCTCACACTTTCAGTCGTTGTGGTTTCTTGATCTTCGGAATCATCCAACATTTCCCGAAGAATATCAAAAGTAAAATTTTCAATAGCACTACCAACTTGTGACACATCATTTTTAAAAATTTCAAGAGTCTCATTCGTTTTATGAATTGAAGCACTTTGGCAGGTAAACAAATAAAAAAATGTTAAATATAAAAAAACTACGTCCATTTCGAAGTTGTGTTTAATTAGAACTGTTATCCGACTTGCAAAAAATGTGGAACATTTGCAAAATGCTTACTAGTATTATTGCTCAAAATTTCAGTTTTGTAATAAGGGGTTGCTCAGTCAAGGTTGTGATCTAAATTATTATAATAGCCTTATTATATCACTAGCAAAGTTGGCTTTATCCAGCAAACAATCGTTTGTAATGTAAGCTGAGGGATTTAATTTCCTGTATACTAATAAATCGCTTCCTCGGAACACACTTAGCAATTCAATAATTTGTTGAGTCGCGGTGCTTGCGCCTGACAGGATCGAGATTTATCTTAATAACTACGTCTTTTATTTAATAATTGATCGTGAACTTTAGTATAATTGTGTTTTAAGATCCATACTTTGCATTTCGTGTAGGTTTGTCGAGGGTTATTTACAGTACGACCAACGCTTAAAAATTATGTTCCCCAAAGGCGGCATCAATTTCCATAAGTTGGCGATGTAATGTGGGAAATAAGCAGCGAGTGAATTTTTTATGGAGATATAAAGGGACCATTTACCTTTTTTTGCTATTTTTCTAACTAAGTACGCTTTTCTACGTGAAGGTTTAATGGCCCGTATTTAGATAAAGTTTATTTGGTGAGAGTGCATATCGAGTTTGTTTTATTCAAGCAACTACCTACATAATTTGATTAAAGAGAAATATTTTCATGTTCGCTGCAGTTATCCCAAAACGTGGTGAACATGTTTTAGCACCTTATAATTAAATTACTTGTCACCGTTATATCAATTTTTTCATTGAAATATTGGAACCAAAAATTTAATGCACTCGCTTCGCTTGTGATGTTAAAATATCTAAATTATTAATTGATGTCATTAAAAAATATTTTTACATTCTTTGCTGCATTCGTCATTCATTGTGCAAAAGTGCTTACAAATAATAATTTTGCTAATCTAAGCATAACATATTTGTTCTGGAACACATTTTTTATTCAAATTCATAATAATCATTATAATTGTTTTACTGGGTCAATTAAAATAAATATATGAGTTTTTTGACAACCAAATAAAATCATATAATCCCAATCCTCCATCTTATTTATCCGAAAATACTGTCCAGAGAGAGACAAACCGATATGAAACCACGACCTTAGGGCAATTTAATATATAGATTATCCCTATATTCAAGTGTCCTACTTTCATCTCTCGACTGTACCCAACAATAACAAATCTTGGCGTTTCCGACTGTACGAAACTCCGCCCCTGTCGCCATTTTATGAAATTCGTGGAAACGTTTATAGAAGGCGCCACGGATTTGTGAATGCGCCAACAAAACTTTTTTAAGTACGCATCTTTTAGAAATTTCCGTCGGTTTTGTTTACAACTTGAAATTTATTTGTTTTCACGATTGTGATTTAGGGCCTTTTGTGGCTTGGTTTTAATGGATAAATACTGCATATCAACGATTTTTGTTTTTTTTGTAAACTAAGCAGGTGTCTATTTCTCGTCTTTATCATAACAACTAAATAAATAATCATTTTTGTGATTTGGGGCTCAATTTTTGACGTAAATTAAGGTTATTAAACTTTTATGAAAATATTGTCCTGTCATTTTTGTATTTTGTCAACAAGTTGCTGGAGGATGTAGCGGAGGTTAATTCGGAAACTACTATACATAATTATAAATAATTTAAGGTTGTAGCCGAAAATACATTATGTGTTGATGTTTATTTTAAGCACAATATATCGCTACTGTACTTCATTGAATATTAAACTGCTTAAATAATCTTCTTGTTATACTCGTATTAAAATATTTTATACAATCAAATTGTATTGTCAATAATGTTTTGTAAATTTGATTTTTGGGTTTTTTTTATTTCCAAAAATGGTGGAGGCGCTGGGTTACACAACACTCAGTTATGCGTCAAATTTTCTTAAAATAGTTACAAGTTTTATAATTCCACATTAATTGCTATAAATATAATTTGGACCACAATTTCAACACAGCGTTACAAAATTTAAAAGTGAAAACCACACAGGTGTAATTTCATTGTGTTCAGATTATATAAAAATATTTGTAATTATTTTACATTTTTATACCTAAAAAAATAACCAATGATTAATATTTAATGAATATTGACTTGAAATTAGTAACATAAAGTAGAAATGTGTGTGACGTTACTGGCAAATAATTTCCCCTGTCATTAATTACAAGTGAAATTAGTTTGTTTTTCACCACATTGACGTTTAAATGGATAAAACATGTCGTTTCATCTTAATATTAAATTAAAGCTCATTATTGATTGGAGAACATTTAATCAGGAACACAAATACCGACGAAAATTTAAACTTAAAAATGTTCTCATTTTAAAGTTCCCTTGGTGAATATAGTGGGGTGGTTATTATTATTGTCTACACTATTATTGTTGCTAAAAAAGTGATTTCTAAAAGTTGTGTGTTAAAGAGAATGGTAAACCGTTTTATTAGGGGTTGATTTTTCCAAAGGCCCGCCATTCCCCCCTACTTGGTCATTGAACTCCCCACCCCAAATTTACCCTCGCGCGCACATCGATTCTGCGACCATAGGTCCGCTATGTATGTCGCGTAGTCCTTCGACAAGTCGCGATATTTATAAATTTTTTTAGTTAAATGGACGTTGAGAAAAGTGCTCTCGATGTGTTTGACTTGTTGTAACAAACCGGAACGTTCGAATTGCCCTCCCGGAGCGTTTTCGAGCGTCGCTCCGGAGGACGTCGCGACGTCCGTGTGAATGTTTGACAGGTATCTTGGTCGTCGTTGACGGCACGGTCTTTTGTTTTGAGGGTCGGGGGGCGTCCATCGACGCCCTGTGTGTGCAAATCAGGTAGTGGCGAAGTTAAAAGTGTCCAAATTTGAGGCGTTTGAGTGGTTTTTGTGCGTCTAATTTTGAGGGAATTTCAACCCAGCGCCTTCGCCATTTTGTACTGCTTTAGGCGTATACAGGTCGTGTTGACACGGCGCCCCATATAATACCAGGGCCGCAAATTGACTCAAAATCGACTCGGTGCCCCTTTTAGGGCCACTTGTGGGGGTTGGGGACACAGGGCCGAAAAACTGGGTCGGAATTTCCTCGCGGTGAAATACAGTGGATTTTTACATGAGTGACGTTTTATGGATAAGTGTGGGATTAGCGCTGGAGGGGCCCTTTCAGTATTAGTGAAGTTAGTAATTTTTTGGATTGTTTTCAACAGAGCCGGATTCAGGGGTAAACCGTGTTTATGTTGCAGGAGCAGAAGCGGCATCGTCATGTGGTAGGCGGGGCTGGGGGGTGTAGCCCCCCTGTAGACCTGGCGCCGCCATCACGGATCACCACGGCGACCGTCACAGGTAAGCTGATTCTAATTAATATACATAAGTGATATTTATGCAGGATTTTAATAAACTTGGGACACTTGATGGGAGACATGTGACTAAAGGGGTCACGTGAACGGAATAATAATAATGGTCCATCCGGTAGTTTACGACAGGGTTGCCAGCTGACACGAAATTTAGATAAAATAAACAAGAAAATATTGCGATTAAATATTAACATAATTATTTAATCACGTGATGTCGGGGATCAATTTTGAAGTTCAACACGATATCAAATGGAAAATTCTTTGTTTCCACTGTTTTATGCAGTTTATCTGCAACTTATAATTTATTCTAACTCAGTTTCTTGTTTCACTACAACTTATAACCTTGCAAACTAAGATTAAAACTTTTGTAATTTTTATATTATAAAAGAAATACAACAAAGTTTTACTGCAACAATCGATATCATTCTCCCCTCGACAATATTATATCATTTTTAAACTGTAAACAAGTTTTAATAAAAAAATAATAAATTCTTCACAGTAATGTATAAACAATTACAATTAGAATAGAATTTCACTGAACGAACAGAACAGCATTTGACGTTGAAGTAACATAATTATAAGCAAATTATTTAATAATAATAATGGACAATTTATTTGAAATTAATATAAAACAAGTCGATTTTTAATGTCAACAAAATTAAAAATAATTTTTGGTGGATGCGCCGGGCTAATTTAAAATGTATCAGATTTGTTGCAACAGTGGTTCGTAACACTGACTACTACCTGTTAATAGTAAAATCTGCTCTGGTAGGCAATAAAATAAATGACTTTTTTATGATTTGAAACTAGAATTGGGGATTTACGAACGTCAGCTAAAAAGCAGTCGTGAAATATTTCAAATGTTTCAATAAAAAATGTTATCAGTTTGAATGACAACAGAATTGAATAGAATGTTTAATTGATATAATCAAGGAAAAAATTGGTGGATGTGCCGGTTTAAAAGAAATAGAAGTAATCACTATCGCCAAGTGGCAACATTGGCTTCTATTTCTTGACTTAAGGAAATTAAGTCGGTACTGCTAGTTAAAAAGCAGAACTCATTAAATATACAGACTTGCTACTTGTTCTAAACTAGCAAACTTAATTAATCATTCTATTAGTTTCATTTCCTTCAAAGATAAATTTGACAATTATAAGAAAATTTGAAAGTGCGCGACCATTTTAATTATGCTTTTGTGAAATAAAGTTGAATAGACAATTTTAATTGTGTCTGAGACTATCATTATTTATTCATCAATTATCTAGTTATCTTGATAACTAGAAAAACTTGACTTTGTTTTTTTCATATTTTATTCAAGTTGGGTAAATATACCAATGAAAATGTGGCAAACAAAAAACCAAATGTTTATCTGGAAATAAATATTTACGTAAATTTGAATTCATCGCCTTGCGTCACTTCAAAACGTCAAATAACAATTTTCCAAAATGTTGTATTAGTCTATATTCTCTGCTTGTGGATAAAACGTTGTATTGCATACGGGTCTTACGATGTACGAGTATTTTATCCACTTAATTAAACGCTCGAGCTTCGTTCTCGGGTTTAAACCTTTGCGTGGATAAAATGCATTGTAAAACCCTTATACAATAAATAACTATTTCCAGTTTCATGTGATTTTGTTAGATTAAATTTTCACCTTTATAAGTAAGAGCTTTTAGATGTCATGTTACATGTTTTTATCCATACTTTTAAAACATCGTTAGTAAATATATATTTAGGTACCTAGGTAAAGTAAGTACGGTCTCAATTCTTTTGCTTTAAAAAACATGTATCCTCTAGATTATTAAAAAAATCTGTACCTACTTTGATAATATTGTTTACTACAGTATCCCAAATTAAATAGGAAATCTTCTAAATATCCTAGCAATTTTTGCTATGAATTTTATAACTATATTGTTACTACACATTTATTTTGGTTCAGGGTGTAAAAATCCCTTAAAAATTGCCTGTCCATTTACTTACATTTGAAAATATTATCACCCAATATAGTTAAATGCAGGTATAAAATCGAAAGATACCCATTGATGTATTTATCCCATCTCAAACAATTACCTCCGTTCGGTTGCTCGAAGTTATATCAGGATTTTTCAGTGGGGGATGTGAGATAAGAAGGAACGATTTTCTGACGTTCGCACTGGTCCAGAAAGCACATAATAGGAGCTTGATGAAGGCTTAAGAAACCCAACACTATCAGAGAATGACACACTAGCATAGATCTACTAAGAGACGTTCTTGAAAACTTGGCGAATTTCATTTTATTTCTTTAACAACTTTTAATGGTCACGCCACATATGGAAGCTATTTCCGCTTTTACCCTTAAATAAGTTTTTTAATGATTGAGCTGACTCTTTTCACACAAAACAACTGCAAAATCACGCAAATACGAAATTATGACATAAAACGTGACAAAATCATTGATAAGCGAGGGAAAAAATGAACAAAAATTGCCACTTACAAATTGTAAATGTGATTTTTTCGCGGAATTAAGGTTAAAGGATAATTCCCCTATGACAGCGCCGTAATTGGCTGGCTCTCAGCTTGTCTTCTCTTTTCTTTCTCCCGTCAGCAAAAATGTCAGATATGACGTGGTTATATTGTCGTTAACATTTTAGTTTTTTCACCAAAATTATTAATTTAAAGGACTTTTGATGACTAAAAAACTTGACGAAGAACACAGTTTAACGACGTGCTATTCGTAAGCTTTGCAGGAGATTAAGAATGTGCTGCTATAAGTTTTTATTGCAAGTTCTAGCATAAACTTGATTAAAACACTCCCCGTGTAAAGAGTGTTAAATTTCATTGTGTTTTTATTTGAATCTAGTTAAGTGTCATAAAATAGATCATTAAACCATTCAGTTTAGTTTCAAATCAGCCGCCAAAAAACTGAATCGATGGCACACAAGCCCATTAAAAAGCTTCGTGAATATTACCAAACATTAAGTCAATTTTACTTTATTAGCAATTCAAATCTGATGTATTTGCATATGAAAATATTGATAGTTAAGTTTTAGTAGTGTCAGAGTCGTGCATTATTTAATAAACATGTCACTATTCGAGATAATCAATATTAGTCTTGTATGAACACAAAGTTCGTTCTCACATAATTTAATATTTATTGTCATTCTGTTTGATACAGTTTCACTTTGATTTGTCTACTTTTTACTTGTCACGGTTGATCTCTCTTTTCGGAAATTTGACGCCATTTTGTCACTTTGTAATAAATCAATTTTACAGCGCCAATTAAGGCAGTAAATTTTCTCAAGTGCTGAACGATTTTTGTTATCAGTAGTGAACACAGCTAATTGAACCTAATCAACTACAAATTTCTCAAAATTTTGAAATTAAATGCGTCACTGTCAACTTTGATATCTCTTCTCTATAGGAAATAATAAATTTCGTAATAAAGCATTTCATAGCACCAACAAACACTAAATATTACAAAAGAATATAAAGTTTCTTTAAGATATCATGCTCATGCACTGGTGGACACGGAATTTTGGACAATTTGTGATTCGACTGACATAAAAATGTAAAAAATGTAGTTTCGGTTTTTATCCTGATAGCTAGAGAAAAAATGACAACAAATTTCTAGCATTGCTGTTTCGGAACATGATGCCAAAAATAAATTTCAACAAAAGCTTTCAATTTTAGTTTGAAACGTCAATCATAATGACACTTATATTGACATTTTTTGAACTGACAAATTTGATGTCCAAAATTTCGTGTCCGCCACTGTATGAAGTCGGTTTTGAAATATGATGTTTAAAAAATCAACAACTCGAATTGTTAAGAAAATTTGACATTTTGTAACAATTTCATAACCGATAAGAGTTTAAGTGCTACAATAAACTTTTGACGAGATGATATTAAACTAGCTTTTATAATACTTTCAACTTTAACCTCTAACATGCAAGGAGAGAGTGGAACGTATCAAATCAAGGGTAATGTACTCCAATTTTGGGTAAAATATGACAAGAATGAGGCTTTAATTTAAATTATGTACAACAGTTTTCAAATATGTATAACGCCATAATTAATTTACATTATACTGTTTACCAATGGACCTGGCCATAACAATATATTGCAAATAAATAATTTATTATCATAAGCGTTGGTCAAAGCGTCATTTAATACAATTCGGGTAATTTATTCCTGGATTGAGCAATTTTGGCGAATGCGCCGGGAAATTAAACTGCCAAATTCGACATTTTTGGCAAAATTGATAAAAATATTGCCGTGATTTAAACTAATTTATTAATAATATAAATCACATTATTTGCGATTAGTCTAACATGGATGAAGTATTTTCAGCAAAAGCGCGTACTAGTGAATGATCAAAGTGACTGCTTTGACATCTACTTTATGACACAATAAAGCCTGATTGACAGTATTAATTTAATAATCGAGAGCCCTATTTCGCCATGTAATTGAAATTAGTTTAGCATTTCAGTAATGATTTTTCGTTGCCAATTTAGTTACAATTTTTTTAAATAAGTCAACGTTTGTTTCGGTGATATCTCCACAACTTTCACACCCGACATAAATGCACAAAAGAGATTCAAATTGATTAATTCACACGGAAGCTTTATGTTGACAATATTGATTGTCACATAAATGCATAAACGTAACTGTTAAATAGCAATGCATCAAGCTAATCAAGTTGGCATTGAAAGTAAAATGGTGAATGTGCTGCGCCGAGCGTCGCTGCAATTTTTGACATCAGCTAACTAGATTTTATTGGATAAATGAAATAAAAAAATTATGGTGTGATGAATTAGCGCAATTTTTAGAATAATGCTTTCCTGGAAACAAATCAATTTTAATTGTTTCAATTTGGGGCATATTTTCTTTTAAGCGCTGATAGCAGCGTTTAATTGAAATTTTCGAATTCAATTCGGCAGTTTTGTACCCTAATTATTCGGCTCTATATAATAAAATACTTTTATCACTACAACCATCGACGCAATAAT